TCTCTTGAGTGCGACCATCCAGCCATTCATCCCCTGCAGTGGCCAGCTGCAGTCATCCTCTGATTTTTTGCAGCCACTTCTAGCGGTACCTTGGTGTAGCAGTCTCTTTCCTGCTCTTGTTTTTGCTGTGATAACGGGGGTTTTAACGATCTTTGTCTTCTCTTTCCAAAAAAAAACACCCCAAACAGTGTAACCGTTCATAGTAAATAGTAATCTTCTAACTTGCAGAAAACGAGCATCATCTGATCTTGGACTGCATCCTTCGGTGCTACTTGTGTTCTTGTGAGGTGGCTGCTGCTGTTGTTTAGCATCAGACCCACTCTCAGATTTCTCTGGATTTGACAAGTCCAAGTGCCAGGTTTGGGATAACAGTGTTACAATAACAGTGTTACAGTAAATCAGTTGAAGTAAAGCACGTTGTCGCTTTACAGATGGAGCCTAGGTTGTTAGCTGACTGTTGCCAGGGCTGTGAGGAAAGAGGACCGTTGCTTTTCCTGCAATGAGTGTAGCTCTTCGAGACGTCAGTGTAGGTTCCATGCCCTCCTTCGCCTTTTTTTCAAAGCCGAAAGTATGTCAGTTCTCAGTTCCTACACACTTTCAGGGTGGCAATTGGTTTCCTCTACCCCTTGTTCGAGAGCAGAACTGGCAGAAAGTGGGCTTAGTTCCAGGGAATGGCCAAGTCCCTCACCCCCATGCACATGTATGTACCTTTCCTGCCTCTTCAGAGGAACGGCATCTGGAAGAGTGTATCCTTGAGAAGCCTAACTGCAATGTAAGCAGCCATGCTGCTGAAGATTTAACTGCTTCAACTCTGTAAGAACTTACTGGGTTAGCAGGTCTGTTTTGTAAATGCAGGTGATTTTGAAGGTAAGTAATAAAAATTAACCAGTTTAATTCTAATCACAGCCATCAACTTTATCATATTTACCTGGTTTATATATCTCGTTCAGAGAGTTTATTACCGAATGTGCTAGAATTGTAAGTTACTTACGTGATGTGTCGAGTTAGTTTTCTGATTTACAAAAAAACCTTACTCAAACCAGAAGTCATAAGCTGTCCCTTTTATAATTACCTTGAAAGTGAAGCTTCAATTCAAATACTAAAACTCTAACACTTGAAGTTGTGGGGTTTTTTTGTAGGATTCACAATGCACTGAAGGGAATCCCGGATGACAGGGATGGACTGTTTGACACCATTCAGCGCTCTAAGAATCATTATCAGAAAAGAGCTTACCAGTGTATAAAGTGCATGGTAGCACTCTTCAGCAACTGTCCTGTAGCCTACCAGATCCTTCAGGTGATAGTTTTTATTCTGCTTCTTGCTGCTTTGTTTTTCCATTTCTGTGTATTTAAAAAAAACAACCATTATTCAGTTCTGATCACCTTGATGAAATTACAACTTCCAGGTACAACTTATCTGAACCTTCCTCTGTCAGAAGGTCAGTAGATTGGGTTGAGAGCAATTTGGTTAAACTTGGACACCGGATTCTGTGATGCAGCTGCAAATCTGCAGACTGTGAAGTGTTCTTGGTGCAAAAAAAGAACGTTTCAGGGAGTCTTTTAAACAGCAGCGTATCTGTTGGTGGCGTGTTTCTGATAGCTGACATATACAGAGGGAAAAATACTTTTCTTCTGAAGTATAGACAGAGTAATTCTGAATTGTTAATTTTCCATCTGCAGAGCAATGGAGATCTGAAGAGAAAATGGACCTGGGCAGTCGAATGGCTTGGAGACGAGCTTGAGCGTAGACCGTACACTGGCAATCCCCAGTACACCTACAATAACTGGTCTCCACCAATACAAAGCAACGAAACGTCAAACGGCTACTTCCTAGAGAGATCGCACAGTGCCAGAATGACTCTTGCAAAAGCTTGTGAACTCTGCCCAGAGGAGGTAAGGAATTAATTCGAGTTGCAGTAAGACATTTGAGCGAAGTGCTTCTATGTGTAATTAACCTTGGCAACAGTCTCCGGTCACTGAGGAGGTAACACATTTTATAAATACGGATGTCTATTTTTGTTGGCTTCAGTTACATAATCCTGAGTGTTATTTCCACTTTTCTTACTGATTCTATAGAAACCTGTCACTTAAGTAGTTAGCAGTGTAGAATTGAAGTTGACCCTTTAAAGTAGATTATGAACGGGTCTATTTTTCCAATAATGTGTTGACAGTGGGAATTCTTGTGCGGCACAATACAAGCTGTGGGTGACACGGTGGGGTGGAATTTTTCTCCAAGCATATCTGAAACGATCACTTGCATGTAGGATTAGACAGAATAATCATTAATATGTTTTACCTAAGTAAATCAAATGGGTTTTTTCGAACTTTAGGAACCAGATGATCCTGATGCCCCAGATGAACATGAGTCTTCTCCACCTGAAGATGCTCCACTGTATCCCCATTCACCTGGTTCTCAGTATCAACAGGTAAAAGCTCAGAGTTGAACCATCTATTCAGAGTTGCAGCTTAGCGTTTTTTAGCATTTATGGTAACTTAAAGTATAGGCATTTAGCCAGAAGCGTGTTGCTGTTGAATATTACACTTGGAGGAGTAAAGATACACCTCCATTCTGTCGGGAACAGTTTCACCATCAGAATTTCAGGTGAGAATTTGAATGTTACTAGATTAGGGATTAATCGTCTGTAGAAAGAGCAGGGGGACAGATGTCATCGCAGTCTAGGGCACGGTGAATTCGATTCTGTCGTGTTTTTGACATTGATACTATTTTGTCAGTTGCTTTCTTGTTTTTTTAAGTACAAAATCAAGCCGTAAGGTCTAAATTTCAGTTTGGGTAATTGGAAGACTTTCAGAAAAATGGAGGTGGGCTCTTGTTACGTGTAACTTGTGCTACGAACACTGATCTCCAAATCTGAAGTACATGCAAAATCTAGATCTGTGTGAGACGGCTGCTTTGTTAATGTCTTTCAGTGGAAAGCCAGATCTGAAAGAAATCATAACCAGCTTTTTTAGTGAATCGACTAAATTATTTAGACCCCCCCACTCAGTTGCCATTTTTTGTTCCAATTCGTTTTACATATACCAAATCTGCTAATTTAATTTCCTTTCCTGCCCAAACCCATTTTCCCTCCATCTTGCTTTCCTTACTTGATGTTCTCAGCAGAGCAGTTGGTAAGTTACGCAGATTTTCCCACTCCTTTCTAAGCTCCTGAGTTCAGACACACACCGTAACCTCACCGTTACCCGCGTGATGTGTTCACTTCCTTGCAAGAGATGGCATTTCTCACTAACACACACAATCTTCGCATTCCTAGTTTCTCCACAGTTAAATTCTGCAAAGCAGCAGATAAATGAGATGTTTTCATTTGCCAGATGTGTGTACGACTCAAATTGGGGTGGAGCATCTGTAGAAAACGACTGGTCTGGATTTCATTCAGTTCTGTAACACTAAAGTTTTCCCTCTTAGAAATTGAAGTACGCTGCATAAATACAGGTCTGCTTTTCCCATTGCCTTAGGAAAAAAATTCTGGGTGGTTGAATCTGCTGATGAAATACGTGCACAGCTTTAATGTCTGCAGCACCTAGGCAGCCTCTTCTCATCTCCTGGTTTTGTCTTTCTTGCTGCTTTTGCTTTGCATGTAGCTGTTACTCAAAAGCCGAGATTACTGTTTCAACTAATCCTTTTATCTCTGCGAGCTGAAAGCTCGTTTACCTCCTGCCTAAATTAAAAAGGTAAGTGACAGATGTGATTGGGAGGGATGAAGGGCCCGGGATGCCTGTTCGTATATAGACGTTCCTGCGAGGACTTGAGGGTACTTCCCAACAGTCTGGATGTGAAAGGGGGAGGAAAAACGGGTAAGTGGCTGGGAAATGGCCGACAGGTTTAACGTCCCTTCAAAATGTTTGTGCTTCCTCGCAGAATAACCACGTGCATGGACAGCCATATACAGGCCCGGCAGCACATCATATGAACAACCCTCAGCGAACTGGCCAACGAGCACAAGAAAATTACGAAGGCAGTGAAGAAGTTTCCCCGCCTCAGACAAAAGATTAGTGAAATGCACATAATCGATTAACTTGCTCCACCGAGACTGTGCACCCAGGCCTTACAGTCCAACCTTTCTCTGTGTCTGGCTAATATTTAAAACTAGAAAAACTATTCCTAATCAACATGGAGTGGAGAGTCTATTCACTGTCTTATCTGCAGAAAATTGCTGTCAATATATAACCCGCCTGCAGTGGAAAGTGTATAGTGTTTTGTAATAAATGGCCTGATGCTAATGTGTAAATGGCAAAGGTGTATATAGTATATTAATGTTTGACTGTTAATTCTTGAGCAAGAAACTTTTTTTTTTGTCTTGATGAGACTCACAGATCTACAAAAAAAAAAAAAAAAATTCTTGATATATCTGCTGCGCTCTGCGACCAGTGTTGCCTGCCTCCCGGCAGTCGGATCAACTCCTTTACGAAAAAGCCTATCCATGTCAACCACAGAAATAGTTTCATGTTAATTCTTTGCCACTGGAGTCGATTTTACTATGAGCAACGTAATGGCTGGTAACCTTTTAATTATTTGGTTGATGTGGAAAATTGGTGATGTAACATTGTTTCTAGATCTTTTTTCATTGCCTTTTTCATTCTGGTATTAGGTTAATCACTTTGAAGCTATAGTTATGCTGTAACATTTAGCATGGCTTCACACCAAGTTAGTGTAGCCAACGAGGGGGAAAGAAAACGCGATGGCAGCTGTCCCAGTGTGACAGCTGCATTGCTCGGAGCTTCTTCTTCTTCCACCTAGATGATAAAACGGGGAGGGGAAACGTGACAAACAAGTGGGTTTCAGTTTCACATGCGTTCCTCACATCTGATGTTCGACAGTTCTGTCTCTGGGTGGGATAAAGAACACTTAGTTTTCAGTAATAGGAATTTAAAAGATTTAAAACAAATATGCAAAAATTTGCTATGCCAGGATGCCTGGAGCATAATAGACTGTATTTGGTGTGCTTGTTTTGTTTCTTTGGTAGAGCTTCTTAGATAAACTTCTAACACTTTCCTTCTACTGCATCCCAGTGAAGCGGAAGTCGACGAGATCACACAGTACTCGTGAGTGCCACTGCACCAAGTTAACTTGCTGGTTTTCTGCTCGTTCACAGTTCTACTTGAAAGCGAGAATTGTCTTAGCTCTTTATCCATTATACAGGACATCTTAACATTAGAAGCAGGGTTTAATTATAAAAGAAACTACTGGTTAGTCAAATACAATTCTGAGGTATCTCTATTCCAGAATAAACATTTGTTTAAAGACTTAAAGAAACGCATCAGTAAATACTGTATTTAAATGAAAATTGGTAACTTGAATGTGTGTAATTTTTTTGGAACCTGTCTAAAAACCAAATACCCCTGCAAAACAGATACAGCCCACCCTATACTATTTAAATATTTTGCTGTTTTATTTTATAGAAATTATTTTGCTGAATTCACAAATAGAATTTGATTTAAGAAGAATGTTTTGTCCTGTGGTGTGTGTTGTTTTTTGGGGTTGTTTTTTTTTTTGGTTTTTGTTTTTTTAAGGGACTGCACAGAAAGGTGAATCTGTGCAGCGGCACTGTGCTGAATTCTGGAACAACAGTCCCATTGAGATTCTGTGCACAAAAAAAAAAATTTGGCCCTTAAGAATAAAATAATCAGGACAATTACACTGTAAAAGTTTCTTAATGTGATTTATCTTGTACTTTTTGTATGTTTTTATATATACATATATATATTTAATGAGCACAAGCTTGATGGTGTTTTTTACGAACGAGTCGATAGAAAAAAGGCCGCTTATCAAATCGAAGGCCTGCAGGGTCGCAGGTGTGTTCTTAGGCACTGGGCTGACAGGGAGAGAGATGGGTAGGCTGAGGAAAGGACACAGGATTTGTGAACATGCTACATAGCCATGATCACTCTTACGCTTCCACGTTTTCCCCAGTGCTCAAGTCACTTCAGATTTTTTCCCAGTTTTTTAGTAGTAGCCTTTAACCTGGACTTAGTAAGGTGTTCCCATTTATGCTTGGAAATGCTTGTTGGAAGTTTTAACTCAAGAATTCTACCGTGAGCACTGCAGTTGTAGTCCTTCGTATTTATTTGGACCAGTAATTGTTAAACAAGGTGTCTCAGAGGCGATCACTCCGTATTGTGTACTACCTAGGTAAAAGACATCACGTGCTGGTTCGGCTTTGCCAAACGCATTTGCTTTTTTCGCAGTGCAGAGCTTGCAGCGACGTGTCAAACACATGACCCTTTACGGCTGCGGCTCTCTCCAGTCCTGCGCACCCCCACCCCTGAAGTGAGAGTGACTGCAGCGGCGGTTGCTTTTTCAGGCGGCAAACTAGGAATATTATGCATCTTTGTGACTTCGAAGGACGGCCTGTTTTCTTTCTGGCAGCTGCTGCCTTTACACGGATAGCTGCAGTGAAAGGTGCAATGTTTTCTTCACTCGGGGCGGAGCGAGTCTGGATTTTGTACTTAACAAACACGGTACCAGCCAGAAGCGTCACACGCGTGTTACTGTCGCGGCGTTGTGGCGGTGGTCGTGTCCGGGCGATGGCACGCTTTAAAGCGGTGCCTGAAGGTTTCCAGTCCCCCATGGCTAACCTCAGTCTGGCTTTCTGTTCTGAAACAGTTACTAGGGAGTCTCTGGTCTTCCGTAAAACCAGCCGATAAATAGCAAAGCAGTTCCTCATGTTCCTGACAGTGTAACATTGGAGAGATGGAAACTGAAAATTCCTAGGGGATGTGATGTGGTGGTTCACGTGACTTTGACCCAGGGGGAAGTCCATAACCATACTACGCAGCATTTCTACCTCTTGTACATTTGGGTTGTGGTTGTTTAGTGACTAAAATAAGCCTTTTAACACTTTGCTACTGTTAAAAAATCAGTACAGCCTTATATAAAAGGAATTCAGTTACTATCTATGTATGGGGAAACGTACTCATTTTCGGCCACGGAGTTGGTCACCTGCGCCTGCCTGGATCCCATCGGCAGCGATGAGATCGCATGGGGCTGTCACAGCTCACTGGCCGTGCAGAGCCTGATGTTGCGGTGGCACATGCACGAGCACAGCAGAGCAAAGAGACTGCTCAGCTCAGAGTTCTGCAGATTATTTTCCCTACTAACTACCAGCTTTGAAAGTTTAAGTTCTCTGGTTTTAAAGCTAGTGTGTCTTGCTGAAATTGAGCCAGAAATTCCACAGTGATGTTTCGTAATTGTTTTTCAGAGTGAAACTTGAGAGGACGGGAGAAGATTGTGTTACGGTAATTGCTGTTATGCCTCCTCCGCCACTTTGTTGTGCCTGGCCTCCTCTGTTTTAGCATCTGTACCATGAAAAAGCGCTTCTGGTTCCAAAATTTTCTATGCGTTTCCTAAATCCCAGGAGGCAGTGAGATTAGCCATTCTGCCAGAGCTAAAACGGGCAAAAACTGGCCGCTGTAGCCATTTACTTTGGTTTTGGTTTCAATAAATTTTGTCTACCTCTGACTTTTTGCCAGAAACGAACAGGCTGATAAACTCCGTCGGGGCCAAGTGGCTCGGTGCGTTTGTTGGCACGTGTTTCAGTTCCCAGGCATCGCAGTGGGGCTTTCAGCGCAGAGAGTTTTAACTTCACCTGAAAGTTAAAAGACCGACCGTGTAAACTAGAGGGAGTGGCATGTTAGGAAACTTGCAGAGTAACCGAATACACGTTTAAATGTCTTCGTTAAGTCTTGTTAGTTCGCGCTTGCAAATCCACGCTGAAAGCAAATTCTCCCCTGGGGTGAAAGACACCCGCCTGACTTTTCTTGGGAGGGTGAGATGCTGATAGTTTGTAAGACAGGTGTGAGAGTTTCCCCCTTTGTGGTCCTGCTCCAGCGCAGCATAAGCAGGACAACAGTAATTTTGGATCCCTGTCTTCTCTTACCTCCGGTGCTGTCGTCTTCATGATACCGCTTTTCTCTCAGCCGTGAGGCCTTGGGAGTAGAGCCTCAACCTGCCTTCTCTCTAGAGCACGGCGAGGCTTTCTGGGGGGAGCTGCCTTGTCCACGCTGCGTGCTGCACAGCTGGACTGTGCTGAGGAGGAAGGAAGGTGGAAGGAACCCAGCCAGGGCCTTGCGTGGCATTTCTGTTCCTCCCACGAGCGGTCTCACGAGAAGAGTGCCAGCGAAGAGCTCTTCAGAGCTCAGTGCGCTTTCTCTCTGGCTGGCAGCTAGAACCCACCTGCGCTGGCGCGGCACAGCTTGCTGTGCAGCAGCAGCGCGAGCAACGCGCCCTGTGTGTGCTCCCCCCACCCCCGTACCGTTCCAGGGTGTTGATCGCGCCCTCCTGTTGTTCTCCGGGGATTAGCACGTTAATGCCTTCATGGGCGCCGCGACGCGCCCTCCCGTACAGCCTCGCCAGCTCTGCTGCGCTGGGAGGGCTGTAGCGGTCTGGGCACTGTCACCTTCACACTGTGTGACTTCCTCAGGTTCCTACTAGAAACGTCCTTTCGCTTCGGAGGTATAAAAATTCCCCTTGGGTCTGTTCTCGGGCACCAAGTAGCGCCTGTCCCCTGGCCCTTTCATGCCGAGCAAGCGCTGGGTCCTGCCCCGGCAGCGTCTGCTACGGCGGGCTCTTCCCGGCTGTGTCGACACAGGCGCCAGCACTCGAGTGCAGAGATCCCCATCCTGTCGTCCGGTTTTCCCAACGCGAGCTGCGGTGTGTCCACGGGTTTCAGCGGCAGCCGTATGAGCCCTGTTGGCTTTCAGCAGCGGCAGAGATGAGGCTGGTGATGAGTTGCAGGGATCAAGGCAGAGGAGTCGGCGGGTGGCACGACAGACCCCTCTCCTGCTTGCTTCCTTCATGCTTGCTGCAGACCGGGGAATCAAACCAAGCCGGGGACAACCGGTTCTGCTAAGGGCTCACCTTCTCATCAGATTTTAAACACCCAACTCTATTTTTTTTTAGCTTTAGGATTCCTGAAGCCACTTTTTGATAAGAAAACTGACCTACGGGCTGTTTCCTTGGAAGAGTTTAATGTAGCCTTAATGGCACTGGCACGGTTCTGAAACAACGGTGCCCTCCTTCGGTGGTCAGACCGGTGTGCAGATGTCTGTTGGTTTTTAACCTTGGAGAGGGAATATGGGAAGGAAAAGGGGTTGAAGGAATTCACCCAAAATCTAACTGTAGAAAAATGTCCAGCGCAGGAAAACATGATCATTCCTTTCTTTGCTGTCTCGAAGATCTCTGCTGCCTATTTTTATCCTTAATTTACAACTGCTGTTCCGGTATCTTGCGCGAGGTTGCCCTGGGCAGCGTCAGCTGTGCGGTTGGCAGCTTCCTGATGCGTTTGCAGTCACGTGCCCCTGTAGCCGAGCAGAATCGAAATCTGCAACTGTTTGTCCCGCGTAAGCCAGTTCCCCGGTCCTACATTTCCGTTTTCACTGTCGTGATGTGCTGCTTCTCCTTCCCTGCAGCGACCAGGACAGGACAAAGGCTTTCCGAGTGTGGATTCACCAGAGCCGTTAAACGAGCAGTTACGCTCCCCTCCTGTAACAATACTTCTGTGGGTGCCACTTGTAATGTTATTGGCCTTTTAAGTAGCTTTATATATGGAAATACATACATGGCTTCAAGGCCAGGCTGGATGAGGCTTTGAGCAACCTGGTCTAGTGGAAGATGTCCCTGCCCATGGCAGGGGGGTGGGAACTAGATGGTCTTTAAGGTCCCTTCCAACCCAAACCATTCTGTGATTCTATGAAATGCTGCTCAGTTCTTGTCTGAATTCCTGTCCATCATTTCATAATGATTCTTCCGTACCAAGTTTCTCACTCTGGATTGCCAGGACCGTTTTTCTATTTAATGTTTTTGTATTTTCTTGGAATCGAATCCCTTCAACTTGCAGTGATGCTTTTTGCTTCCTTTGTTGCTGCTGTTTGCTGCCAGTTGCTGCGAAAGAACCACGTTTGCCAGGCAGCCCAGCTCTCCAACCGGAGCCCTTTACGGCGCGGTAGCAGCAGCCAGGGCCTTGACCGTTGTCAGCTCTTAAATCTTCTCAGAACTTAGGCGGGATACAAAAGCTTCCTGCTCCTGGTGGCAGTCTGAATTCAGATAGCTTGTAGCTCGTTGGGTTTTCCTTGGCTTTTGTTTTCTATTTCGCTGCTTCTTCTATCTTGAAACAGTTTCTGCAGGTGAATAAAAATGGTTGGTGTCGGTGGAATCCACTTTGGAAAAGAAGGCTGATGGAAAACTTGGATGTGTCTCAATATACTTGATTGTATTTAAATATCTGGTGGGTGTTTTAGAGTCCTTAGAAAGTCTTCTGGAAACAAATTCAAAAGCTTAGAAACATGCAGACTAGGTCTTCAGGATTTAATGATACTCCCCAATTGATAATGATACTCTGCCTGTCCTGCTGCGTGGTTAAGAGCAGGTGAGGTGGCAGAAACGGAAATGCCTCACGGAAGGGAGAAAGGTCGTGCCCCATGAAATCCCTGGGGAACTGGGAGCGCTG